CGCTCAACTTCACAGCTGGACGGCTCTCAGCCCTGGAGTTGCTGGACACCGGACTGGGGCATCCGCATCCAGGAAAGTGCTTACCACTGAGCTGCCCCCTGAGCCCCTGGCTTTGCTTTAACGGTCATCACTAGCTGACCTCTCAGCTCAAACATCACTGAGTGAGTTCAGCAGTGGCCTTTGGCACCCACCTGGATTTTCTATGGTGGGACCTTGAGACGGGGGTCATTGCTGCCACTCCTTTGTCCCCATGGGGAGAGACATAGTTACCTTTAAAGGGAGCTTCTCCTCCCCAAGACCCTCTGGGCCCCAGGACCCCTGCACCGCACAGGAATGGGCCAAGCCACACAGGCCTGAGCGCAGGCCCCTGCCACAGCTTCTAAAATAACCACAGCGCAGAAGGCTGGGGATGGGTTGGGGCTTATATTTGGAATCGCTGTTGGAAACAGTCCTGGCCAAGTGTAACACCCATCTGTTCCGGTGGCTTGGGGAAGGAAAAGGGGTGGCTTGGCAGGAGGGGGCTGGGCAGTCCCCAAACTCAGGGCTGCCCGGACGTCAGCTCCGCTGGGCCCCACCCTGCCCCAGAGATCTCACCCCTCCAACCTCAGCTGCTGCTGCCACCGTCAAGGGCCACTGTCCTGCCTGAAGAAATTTTCCCTTTTATGAAACGGATCTTTGTTCCTGAATCTTCTACCCACTGGTCAGACCTTCAGGAGGACAGAAGGGGTCTCCTTCCTGCCGAGTCTCTGCTTCCCCAGGGGAATCCACTCTGTCCTTCACCATCTGGCACCCAGCTCCACAGGCTCTTGCCTATACTTTTGGGCCCCTTCGTGCCTGTCACTTGGCTCCACCCTCCCACACTCTCCTCGCCTGTGTCTCTATTAATGCATCCCAAGAGTGCACGGGTGCTCCTGCCATGCCGTGGTGGTTCATCAGGAGCTTGAGTCAGCTGTACCCCTATGTATTTTCCACATTGGTCTCTTTCCCCTACTTCATTGTTGTGCGGTTGATTTTAAAGACTGAACTGTGGACGTGTGGATCTGTCTCTTTGTATTAGTTGTTTGTGCCTGTGCCTGCTCCAGCTTTTTGCCATCCTTCCCAACATTTTCTTTCTTTTTTTTGGTGGGGAAGGGTATGTACTGGGGACTGAACTCAGGGGCACTCGACCACTGAGCCACATCCCAGCCCTATTTAGTATTTTGTTTAGAACCAGGGTCTCACTGTGTTGCTTAGTGCCTCACTTTTGTTGAGGCTGGCTTTGAACTCACCATCCTCCTGCCTCAGCCTCCCAAGCCTCTGGGATTACAGGTGCGCACCACCCCGCACCTGGCTCTTTAGCCTAATTCTCCAGGAGGACCTAGAGTGCTCCCTGAAGGAAAGGCCCTTTGCTGTGCTTGCCTCCTTTTGGGTTCCTGGTGGGAAGACTGGCCACTTGGCCAGAGTCCTCTCCACACCTGGGGCCGCTGTTCCCAGGTCTTGGGTGGGAGAGTGCTGTTGAATCAACAATCCTTTGTTTCCCTTGAGATTGGGTTTAGAGTCTATTCATTCCCTAGGGCTGTTTAATAAATTGCCTCAACCTTGGTGGCTTAAAACAACAGAAATTTGTCCCCTCCCAGTTCAGGAGACTGGAGGTCTGAGATTAAGTTGCCTGCAGGGTTGGTTCCCTGGGGCGGCTCTGGGGAGCATCTCCCCCAGGCCCCTTGCTGCCGGTGACTTCCAGTGGTCTCGATGTCCTGGCTCCTGGCTGCAGCATGCTGTCCGCCTAGGTCCCCCATGGTGTTCCCTCTCTGTTTCACCCTGAACCCCTATGATCTCATTTCAAGATCCTCAACTTAGTTACCCCAAGCAAGGACCCTGTTTCCAATTAAGCTCACAAACCCAGGTACCCGGATTAGGACATGGACGAGTCTGTAGTCATATTGAACCCGCTACAGAATCTGGGTCGAGAGGTGGTGGCCATCTGTTATGGGGAATCACGTCTGCTCGGGTGTCTGCCGATGGGGCTGGATGCAGAGGACCCCAGCGTGGGCCCTAGCAGTGATGCCCAGGGACTTTCGAAGCCCGGCCCAGCTGTGGGTAGACCTGGAGGGGACTGAGGGCTTCTCACCCTGCCAAGGAGGTAGTGGCCCTGCCTGGTCAGGGTTATGAGTTCACCTCATCACCCCCCAGGCAGATGAAAACCTGCAGTCCCACCTGGGGGTACACTCGCCTGGGACGCTAGACACGTCCCAGGTTTCTCTGGGGAATTGTATGCAATCAGAAGCTTTTTCATGAATTTATTTTGTATCTAAAATTGAGGCCAGTTTACATACTCTTGTTTTATTTATGAGCCAAATGTCCACAAGAAATGTTATTACTACAAGGGGAAAACCTCTCAGTATGGAAACCTTGAGCCAGTGATTGCATTTTTGTGATGGGATTTAAGTGATGGAAATCTAGTTCCATCAAACCATTCGGGTAGCTCTGTGGCATCCTTGGTGAGAGCTCCAGGCTCAGGCTGGTACCTGGAGTTTCATTAACGGTTTGAGAGGCGTCTGTGAACTTTCACTGACATCGTGGCTTGGGCTGCGCCCAGTTAGGACTGATTGGGGTCTTTGCAAATCTGATTTTGGCCTCCGTCAGTCAGCCTGTAGGCTCTACCTGAGCCCCACCCTGCAGGGTCCTGGGCAGGATTTCAGGGGTATTGCGTGTCATGATTTTGAAGGACAGTAGCACAGCTGATGTGGCAGTGGACTGGTCATGGGACAGTGCCTGTGGGATCTGGTGGGCCAGTCTTTTCACCGGTTCCTGAGTATGTTTAATGACTCATTTTGAGACAAATCCTGTTGGGGTTTGGGTCTGACCAGACTGAGATCAACAAGATGCCGCTAGGGTGTGCTTGGATTCTAGGCAACCTGTGGGCATCTGCCAAGCATCTCCAGGCCTCAAAGGGGCCTCCTCTGTGGACACTGGAGGGGGAGGAGCTCTCAGGGGATTCAGAGGTGAAAAAGACCTGCTCCTGCCCCCAAGAAGGACATGGCAGTGGGGGAGAAGTAAGGGCGGTGAGAAGGAGCCCTGTGGCCAGCCAGCGAGGCTTCTGCTTCTGCAGGGGTGAGTGAGTCCAGGTGGGAGTGGTGGAGAGGGGGCTGGCAGTGCAGCAGGTCACCCCCAGATACATGTGCGTGGCGAGACTGGCTGGCTGGCCTGCCCTGGGAAGAGGAGAGCCAGGATAGGGGCTGGGGCATAGAAAGCAGGGAGCTGATAGCCACTTGTCCCAGGTGGGAGCCACAGTGGGGGCCAAAGGCATCAGGAAGAGCTGCCGGGCACTGGAAGGTGTGCGCCAGAAGAGAGGAGGGTAAACCCCTGGGGAAACGAACAGCAGGAATTGTGAAGGCCGGAGAGGGGACGTCCGGAGAGCGGCCACTTGGCTGTGGTTATGCGGGGCACACTGTGGAGGGGATTTTAGGACAGAAACCCAGAGAGAAGCGTCTTAATGTGCAATTGCACTCGGCCATCTCTGAGCAGAGGCTGCTGCCGAGCCAGAGACAGAAAAGGATCAGGAAGCTCACAACCTGCAGTTCCTTTGGAGGCAGCTCCTCGGCCGTCTGCAGCAAGGGAGAAAGAGAGGCTCTACCAGGGCTTCTGCCAGGCTGGAAGTCTGTAGGGGAAGAGAGAGATGGGGTTCAACCTGGAATGCAGGCAGAAAAGGTGATTTTACAGCCAGAGAGTGGAGGGTGGAAAGTCACTAGGGAAACTTAAGGGAACGGGGTTCTGCCCGAAGTAGCCGGTTGGAATCTTGCTGAACTCAGGCCAGGAGATCAGACATCCGGGCAGCGAGGACCCTGATCGTACGAAGAGGGTGATTCAGTTTGGGGTTTGGGAGATTCTGGCTAAAACAGCTCAGCAGTGCCTGAGAAACAAATTTCAGCAGCTTGGGTTTAAGGATCCAATCAGCTCTGTGAGTGGAATTCATGGATGGAGCAGCGTTTGTTCTGGTCATAGCCAGGCTCCCGAGAAGCTGAGCCCAGGGTGGGTACGACAGGCAGAAGAGTGTCCAGCAGAAGTGGGAAGTGGGTCGGTTACTCCAAAGTCACTTTCTGTAGTATGGTTACAGCAGAGGGGACTCTGCTCAGGCTCAGGTTGACCGAACCCCTTTTGCTTTTGATTGGTTGCTGGGAGTCCACTCTGTTTTGGAAAACCAGCCTTTTCTAGCCCAGTTTGATCACCAGGCAGCTGGCTGGAGGACTGCATTCTGGTTTGGTCTTTGTTGAGCCTAGGGCAGAAGCTTAGCCCAAAACAATGGCCTCCCCTGTCTTGTCCTTCACAGAAGGAGTTTTACTAAGATAGGGTGACCAGACAGAGATGGGTGGCCAGAAGTTGAGTCTGGTCAAGGAAGACCACCAGCTCCGGTGGCCAGTGTGGGTAGGGGTGTGGGTGGAGTCCCTGGAGAGAGCAGGCCTGCGTGGATACCCAGCCTGCAGGTGTTCCCCTGCTATGTGCAAGTGCCTGGAAGTTGGGTTAAAAACAGGTTCCTTTGAACCTAGGAGCACACATTTAATACTTTTTGAAAACTGTTTCGAATGCCTTTGAGAAGAGCCAGGAGTTTCAGAGGGGCCCGTGATACTGCAAGCACCCTGTGTTCCTCCAAGAGGAGAAGAGGATGGGAAGGAGCGTCACCATTTTCATGGTGTCTTTTTGCTACTGATCATTTCTGTAATAGGGTGTTGTAAAATCAGAGCCTTGGCCTGAGGGGGCTTGGGGTGGCAGGAAGCCTTGCAAATCCTGCTGGTGGTGGTTTGGGGCCAGCATAGACCTGTCTGGTTGGGGAGGAGGGGTGGCACATGAGGGGTGGAGCGAGAAGGGAACCAGGGAGGGGCTCCTTTGCAAGGGAAAGCAGAGAAATGGTTGTTTCTTAATGAACAAAACCAGATAATGTAATTGCACATTGATTTTATTTGTCACCCGCACGGCGTGATTTCACATGGGCGGATGGTGACATCATCCATTTATTGTATTCACAGGTTGTACTCTGACTATCTCTACTTTGCAAGTTCGAATAAATCTGCGGACGACTTCCATGAGAAAGTGACAGAAGCTCTGCAGCTGTTCGAAAATTGCATGCTGGATTACTCGCTGCGCGCCTGCGTCTACAACAACACCCTCAACAACGCCATGCCTGTGCGTACGCCCCGCCCACCCCGTGCAGAGCGCCCACTTGGCTGTGGTTATGCGGGGCACATTGTGGAGAGGATTTTAGGACAGAAACCCAGAGAGAAACGTCATAATGTGCAAATGCACTTGGCCATCTCTGATCAGAGGCTGCTGCGGAGCCATATCCTGGATGCAGAGGCTGGATAAACAATGAGGGCTCTTGCAGCAGGCTCCCTGCTTCCTCCCTGCCCATCACCCCGTCACCTACGGTCCCCTCCCTGTGTGAGAGAATAGGATTGTCATTTAGGGAGGCCCTGACAGCACAGGCAGCAATTACTCAGCAGAGAGAGTGTTTTGAAGGGCCTCTCTGCAGTGTGCATTGTCCCTCTGGTTTTAGGATTCCCCGCCAGTGACTTCGACCTTCTTTGCAGGGTCTCCTCTTGGTCCTTGGTCTGTTCCCTGCCTTCCCTCAAGGCGCCATCCTGGAGGTCCCAGACTTTCTCCTGCACTAACAGTTGTTGGTGGCGACCTGGGCACCTTCCAGCTGGGTCCCAGGAGGCCAGGTGCTCCTCAGCAGGGAGTTTTCAGCAGGTGGCTTTCCCAGGTGAGGTCAGTCCACCGTCTGCCCAGAGTGTGGCTGGGCCAGCCTCTGCCTGACACAGCCACGTGGGGCATAGACTGCTGCGGAGGGCGGTGGCACTCACCGGAGAGGCTTCCTGCCCTCTGCCTTGTCACCCAGGCTGCCTTATCCAAAGGTGGGGCACAGAGATAGCAGGCCTGAACCCCAGCTGCCTTGACAGGGGCTCTGTAATATGGCAAGAAGATGTGACTTGGTTCAGATGACCCCAGACCCAGAGGACAGAGGTGGGCTTGGGAGCCAGGTGGTGTGTAGGTCCACTTCCTCTCCATTTTACAGATGGGCGTCCTGAGGCTCACGGATGGTTTCCCTCCTACCCAGAGCTAGCCTCACGTTAGTACTCAGCCCCAGGTCTGGTGGCCTTAGGAATTCAGGGTGGTCCCCCCTTCCTTGTGCTTTTATGTCTTGCTGGGGTGACAATTAAGCAGGCACCAGTGGTCAAAGGGACATTCGCAGGTGCAGAACAGTGGACAGGATGGATGTGGCTGTAGCAAGTCCTGGGTTCGTTTTCCCTTCTTCTCTGTCCCTGGAGAGTCCGCACACAGGAGGAGGAGCCCAGAACTTGGAAGGGGGGTCTGGCTCATCTTGGGGAAGCCTCACTTCTGGGATAAGAAGAGAATTCCCCTCCTGCTGCAAATCCCAGCACAGCCCCACAGGACAGGGGTAGATCTTTAGGACCTGTGGGGACCCTGTTACCTCTTAGTGAGTTCACCGCCTCCCTGTGGCACCTCCTTCTCTGTTACCGCCACAGCCTACTCTCTTCTTCTAGATCCGCAGACTGGCTAGGGCTTCTGCCTTGGAGCAGGGCTCACAGGTATGGTCCCTGCAAACTTGCCAGATGTGCAGACTCCGCCCCTCAGACCTCCTGAGTCAGAAATTTTGCGAGGGGACTTGATCTATGGAGCAGGCCTGCCTGCGGGTGTGTCCTGCACCTGGACCCTGGATCCCTGGTGGCTGCTCCTCCCTGGGGTGCACTTCCCCTGCCTGCTGAGGCTTCTTGTCCTTCAGGTGTTTCGCCAGCCTGACTTCCTGTTCTTTCTCCACTGGTAATTTTTCTCCATAGCCTGTAGCACCATTGGTGATTTCAAATGTTAGTCCTTGGTCAGGTTAGCTGTGTCCCTCAAACTAGACTGGAGCCCCACAAGGCCACGGCTATCTGTGAAGCAGCATCCAATCTCCGTTGCTTGCAGCAGGGCCCTGGCACATGGTGCGAACTTGCTACCTAGACACCAGCTGAAGAAATGAATGAATGAATGTGCAGGGAGTTTGGGAGAGATGTGGAGAGAATGTGCGAGGTCCCATCTGAATCGTAGTGGGGGACACAGAGCTCAGTGCATCTGGGCAGAAGCTGGGCCTGGCCAGGCTCAACCTGACTTGGCCTCCTGCCATGCTATGCTCCTGGGGCTCCCTGTAGTGGAACAAGCCCCATGCATGAGGTATTGCTCTTTGAAGTGGCTCTGGTGGGTGCTGACCGCTGACCTTGTTCCCCCTCTGGTTCTCTGACTTTCTGACCTGGGGTCAGTCAGCCCCCTAACTTCAAGGCTTCTCTCAGCTCTGGTGTTTTCCACTTTAAATGCACTGTGCCCTTGCCCCGGGGCCCTCTCTGTGTGGTTTAGACTTGAACCCTACCTGGGCAAAGCAAGGGAGCTGGAACTCTGAGTGGGGCTGTCTCGAGTGTCCTTGTGCTTCCCAGTCATAGTGGTGATGCTATAGGAACAGAAATGTCCCCAGGGTGCCTAGAACCCTCCCTGGCTGTAAGTGGACAGGGCTGGAGTGGGAGGAGAGGGGTGCTGGGCTGGGCAGATGGGGAGCTTGTCCCTTGGGGAGCAGCTGAGTGCCCAGGAAGCCTGCATGCTCCCTGCCTGGACAGCCCTGTCCATCAGGAGGGCTCACTGCAGGACTCGGCCCCAGGACTCTGGCCCGCTGAGGACACTGGAGGGACTCTGAAGAGATGGGCATGAACCTTCAGAGAATATCCTGTCACTGTGGCCAGGTGCAGGGACAGGCTACAGCTACGCTTGAGGGGCAGCATGCTGCACAAACACTTGACCACTTTCCTTCCAGAAGGTTCTCTAGTTGCAAAGCCAGGCTCTTTGGAAGCGATAAACCTCATTAGTCTGTTCTCCCCCCAGGGAGAAGCCTGCGAGATGCCAGGGAGAGAGGCTTGAAAAGCTCCGAGAGGCCTGCTCCTTGGCATTGGAGGCCACGCGGTCTCATTTCTGAGGCTGACACAGGCTCATTCCTCGCAGCTCCGGCCCAGCTTGAGGTCTTTTTTATGAGCTGGTGTATGGGTAGCGAGGAATTGTGGGCCGGAGGCAGCTAATGAATTTTGGAGACAACACTCTATTCCCTCTAATTGCTTTCCTTCCTCCCCATCTTCCTACATCGTTAGAAAAATAATGAAATGGAAAAAGAATAGCAAGATATGACACTTGATAGCATCTGCACATATTTTTCAAATGTTTCTTCATCTGATTGTTAACTGAGCTCAGCAGTTCTGCCGAGGACCATATTGGGCACTGACACAGGGTCTTCCAGAGGAAGGCTTGATGGCCTTCCTTGAAGCCACTGACCCTGCACTCAAGGGGTTCAAGGTCAAGGGCAAGAAGCCTAAGTGAGCCTTAAGCTCTAGGAGGAGCCAGCGCTGGGAGGTGCTCCAGGTGGAGGGGTGAGCCAGAAGGTCAAACTGGACAAGAACCTTCTGTGTGGAGGGCTCTGGAGGCCTGAGCAGGGCTGGTGGTGGCCAGCTCACTGCTCGGCCAGCACATGCTGGTGGCCAGGTAAGGGTGTGTGTGTGTAGGCCCAGACAGGAGCTGTGTATCAGGAGGGCAGCAACGGGCATGGACAAAGGGAGAGGGGTGTAGACAGGGAGGTGGGGAGGAGGCTTCCCTCACTGCCCTCGCTCTGATGCCACTGCAAGTGCTGGAGGAGATCCCCAAACCACCAAGTTCACTCATGTTCTAGAAAAGCTCACAGGGCACACTGAAGGTGGCCATCTCTGTGGTCACAATTTATTTCAGGGAAAAGGTGCAGATTGAAGTCAACCAAGGGAAGAAGGGCATGGGCAGGGCCAGGGGCGCCAGTGCAGAGCCCTGTCCTCTTCTCCCCTGGGAGCCGTGGGCAGTGCTCCTGCCCCCCAGCCATGATGGATGCGTGATCGCACTTGTGGACTATTGTCACACCAAGCCTTGGTGCCCAGAGTTCTTACTGGGACTCTCTTACTCACTGCCTTGTGACTGTTGGTCTCCAGTCCCTCCAGAGGTCAGGAGTGACACCTACCTGTAGCCCAGAGCCCCGTTGTTAGTCACTTTGTTAGCCTGTCCATGGCAAGGCTCCGACAAGCCAAGATACTCCTGGTGGGCAGCGCATTGCAGGGCCTGAGATCACCTCCCAGCAGCCAAGGGCGGAGGCCAGACCTTTCTCTGGGTTAACTCTTGACTGCACTGCTGCAGTTTGGCACAAGAGAAAGGAACAGAAGGATGAGGACCAGGAAGTGAGTAGGTGGACAGGAGAAGGGCCTGGGGCCTGTGGGCTTCTTTCTGCACCAGTCACGTCCACATGTGCTCAGCTCACGGCCACGGATGTCCCTGTGGCGCCTGGGTTGTCTGAGAGCGTCTGCGGTGGATTTCCACAGCCTGTTGTGTGCTGGACATAGAGGTTGCTCAGGGAGCAGGGAGAGGGCTGGGATGTCATGCAGAGAGCACATGCTTCCTTGGTTGCTGCAGCCTTGACCTCTTCCCCACCCCCAGTGCTCACCAGCCACGTGGAGACATGGCGCTCCTGTGGGGCTGGGGTGAGGATTCAGTGCAGCCAGAGTGTAGAAATTCTTTGTCCACATAGTACAGACTCTTTGTGGCAATTCTAGGGCACCTTGTGTTCAGATACCTCTGTTGAAGGCGACTGTTGGCCAGGCTAATTCTCCCAGGTTGCTTTATTATGAAGGCCGTAATGCTTTTGGAAAAGTGCCTTAGAGAGCCAGGAACATGCCTCCTGAAATAATGCCCTCCTCCTCTGTCCTAGGTGAGGCTCCAGGTGGGGCTGTATGCCGTGTACCTTCTGGACTGGCTCACTGTTTTTAATAAGGATCAGTTTCTCATTCTGCGCCTGGAAGACCACGCATCCAGTGTCAAGTACACCATGCACAGGGTCTTTCAGTTCCTGAACCTGGGTATGTGACATGGCTCTGACTGATGGGGCCCAGTGTGAGCCCCATGGAGGCTGGCTCTTGGGGAACTCTCTGGGTCAAGCACAGTCACAGCAAGCTGGGCAGGGACGGGCTAGCTGGGAAGCCCAGGGAATTCCAAAGAGGCCAGGTCAGTGTCTGTTTATTGAGCACCAGCCCCTTGGCCACTGTGCCTGGCATGGTGAGGGAGTCTCTGGGGTGGAGGAGGTGGCCTTCCAGCAGAAGGAGAGGACAAGGCCACTGCTGTACTCATTGAGTAACTGGTGGCGTGACATGGGGGGAGGTTACTATTGTCATGGAGGTGTGTGCTGACGACTGGGGACCCCAGCTGCTGAAGGATTGTGGAAGCTTCGTGGGAAGAAAGGGTGTGTGGTTGGAGCTTTGAAGGACCAACAGGGCAATGTTGGTGGCTGGAATATCCCTGCAGAAGGCACGGGGTGTGGAGGAGGGAACTGGCCATTGCACCGTCTCAGAGTCGCTGGGGATCCCTGGAGCCGTAGTTGGTGACTGTTGGTCACTGGCCACAGCTCTGGGAGGGTGAGCCTACCCTGAGCTTGAGGACACCAGCCCAAGTCCCTAGGGCACTTTGTGCCCCAGACCACACTGCTTCCCATGGCGATAGCTGGCAGGGACACATACAGGTGGGGGTATGCTGTCCATGGGGAGGTGTCACCCAAGGATAGTGGCCAAAGCTGAGGCAGGGTCAGAACGGGCCGACTCCTTCCCCGAGTGCCTCCTGCGGCCCCAAGGACCTTGCCTGGGAATTTTGTTAATTGAATATTTCTTAAAATATATCTGCCTCACTGGGTCTTTTGATTTTCTTTCTCCTTTTGGGAGAGCTGGTAATGTGTTGGAGTGTGGTCACTTTTCTTTCTAAGGACTAGAACCAATTATTCATTTTTAAAAATTTGGCCACCTGAAGACTCCCTCACCTTAATGAGCTTGTGTCTTGTCCTTAAGAGGGACAGTAAGGCCCACTTTTTATCTTGCATAACCTTAGGGCACTGGGATTTGCTAAGGACCTTGTCCAGATCCCGAGAGCCCGGGCTCCAGAGGCCTGACCAATGATGGGTGGGTTGAAGCCAGTGAGCAGCCTGTGTCCCATGCCTGGGCTCATGTGGCAGCCTCAGCTGGCAGCCCTGCCAGCTCATCACAGGCGTCTCCTCACTGATGTACTTGCTGTAGGTGGAGGTGCAGCCAGAGGGGACTCTGGGCACAGGTGGCCTACACCCCACCATGGCCACCTCACAGCCAGACACACAGGTGAAAAGGGACCCCTTGGCATCAGGAACCCACGTGGAAATGACTGTGGCAGAATCCCAGCAGCTAGCCAGCAGGACACTAAGCCCCTGGACTGTGCCTGGCAGGGTTCTCAGTGCTCAGAACAGGCTGCTGCCCGGGAAAGCAGCCCTTTAAGCAGAGCTGGAGCAAGTCCCCGAGGTGAGCCCGTCCTGAGCACCAGCGGGACTCCCCGAGGGTGGCCTCACACACTGCCCAGAATTCCTTTGCTGTTTCTTAATGGTATTTCCACCTCCCTCCCCCATCTCCTCCAAATGGATCCAGCCAAGGAATTTGAAGCCCCAAACACATTCCTCTTGAAGGAAATCCCTTTCTCGGCACAGAGCAGAGCTGGGATTTTTGCACAGTCCCGTTTGCCGCTTGCCCTGCCTCTGGCCTCATGGGATTCTTTGCCTTTCATTCCAGGGCCCCTAAGTGAGAAGCAAGAGGCCTTGATGACCAAGAGCCCTGCGTCCAATGCACGGCGTCCAGAGGACCGGAACCTGGGGCCCATGTGGCCGGTCACACAGAAGATCTTGCAGGACTTCTATGGGCCTTTCAATGCTCGGCTGGTGCAGATCCTCGCCGATGAAGCGTTTGCGTGGAAGACACAGTGAGACCTTAGTCCTGGCTGTAGGCATGGGGCTCAGCGACCCTGTCATTGCCATGACTTGAACCGTCTCCCTCGGTGGGGAACTGTTTTACACACAGTGTGGAGAAAACTGGGAGACTCCATCTTCTTTTCCTCCCCAGGCACCTGTTAATTAGAACCATTCCAGAATTTCCTTTGTGAAGTTCAATAGCTTAGCCCTTGACCCCACAGAGCCCCTCCAGAGGCCACTGGAAGCTGCAGGTGGGCAGGAATTGAGTTCTGCTCTGTGAGCACCCGGAGCCCTGGGGAGGGACGGGCTTGCAGTGCAGAGAGGAGGCCTGGGGAGGCCACAGCCCAACTCTGCTCAGCCACCTCCAGGACAGCCTGAGTCCAGGGTTTGACAGTCCTGGGGTCCTGTGAAGTACCAGCGCTGGACTGGCCGGAATGTACACGTCTCATGCTCACGAGCAGTTTTGCAACACTCTTGATTGGATCACTCACCCCATCTGGGTGGAGTATGGAACCTCTTTTGAGAATGGAATCTCTTTTTCTTTTCTTCTTACTCCCAAGTCAGCTCTCCAGTGACATCAGAAATAAACCCTGTTCACAGTTTCCAAGAGAAAAAAATTGTTTTTGGCAGCTGTTCATCTCCAGCCTCGCGTTCTGCCCTTGTAGACTTCATGTTTAACTAGAAAATGAATGCGTTAACAAACCACTTCCTGCATTGGACTAGCCCTAGCTCTCCCGCCTGCCTCTTTAGATGTTTTCTCAAGAAATTCTGTTTATATTTGGAAGGGGAATTTTTGCTGAATGCCGGAATCCTGCATCCTCAAGGAGCTGAACCCTTTGTGGAGTCTCAGTGACTGAAGTCCTGAGGCATGCAGGTCCTCAGAGAACTCAAGGGGCTCAAGTGCTGGGTCCTTGCTGGCTGCAGGCTCTGCCCCTCGGGGAACCTCTCTGGAACGAGTTCGTTATCCAAGTTCTCCAGCTCCTCTCTCATTAAGGAGCTGCAAGATTCTGGTATCCTGATTCAGAAACAATGCACAGGCTAAACTTGGGCTTAATGTAGTATGCTGGAATTTGGAATGAGATTGCCAGGAGCAATGTTCTTAATGGAATTTTCCAGTACTCTAGGCAGCTTTGGTTTACAATGGATGGGCTGAAGGTCTTGTCACTTCTTGGAAGTCACGGGGAAAAGAATGCTTGGGCCTGCTTGGCATTCAGCCCGAGGTGGGACAAGGAAGCTTTGCACTCCTGTGGTCAAGGGAAGCTTCCTGTGAACCCGTGTTCTCGGATTGAGGTCCCATCTTCTGAGTCAGAAAGTGCAAACACTACATACCCAACTGGCGCTCGTGTGTGAAATAGCTGGGCTTTGGTGGCACCAGGATGTGCTCAGCTATCTGACCCTATTGCTATCGTCTTCCTGCCACTGCAAAAGGGATGCTGAGCTCATTGTCCTGCGCCCATTGCCTGGGGTGCGGCTTGCTCTGAGCACTGCTGCGGCCGGGGCTGTTTCTGCTACTGAAGGCGCTGTGTGTCCTGATCACCACTTGCAGGGACAATCCCCACCTTTCTCTTGCAGAAGGCCCTCACAGCAGCCGCCAGAGGGGAAGTCTGGCCTGAGCACAGGATGCTTTAGGGAGATATCACTTCGGAGTGTGTGTGTGTATTTATTTGGAATACAGAGTGTGTGTGCGCGTGTGTGTGGGCGCATTTGCTGAGTGGGTTCCCTTCAGTCCTGTTGCTGACGAGGCCTCCTCTCTGGACACAATGCCTTTACAGATTAATTTCTCTGCCAATTAACTTGTCATTTCCAATACATATTTTGCTATTCAACATCAGCCATGATTTCAACAAGGGGTTTTTCTTATGCACTCCTATGCATGTGAATAACATGTCGTGTAACTCTGCTTCTTACAGAAGTATTACGAAGGTATTATTTCCAATATTATTTGGTTCATTACTGATCTCTTTTGTATATGCAGACCCCCTCTCTGTGCCGCCCAGTGCCATCCAGACATGGTTTTTCCCTCCAGGCCTTTCTCCAGGGGCCACACTGTTGCCTTTGCTCTCTCCGTCGAGGCCTGGCTCCTGTTGACAGCACAGATGCCATCCTTGGGCAGTGGCTTTCTAGCCCATCACCCCAGACCAAAGCGAAATGGAAGGTTCTTCACGACCTGGTACTGAAGACACTGCACACGGGTGTGCCCACCGCAGCCCCTAGTTGTGTGAGGTGTCGTGTGAATCACGGTGGTGTTGTGCTTCTATTAATATTTAACATAATTAAAGATGGACCCATATGACTGGTGCTTACAGGGTGCGTGTCCTCCCCGTCTCCAGCACACCGTCTGTTCTTTCCACAGTGTCCTGTGTGGGTGAGCAAGTGGTGGACAAGGTTGGCATCTCACTGGCCGGAGGTGCCTGCTCACTGTGTGAAGGGGCTTATGGAGGGTGGCTGGTGAGAGGTGGCCATGGCCACACCCAGGATCAGAAGAACGCTCAGGGGCAGAGACCAGGACTCGGGTGTTTCCAGGTCCTCCTGCCAGGGTCCAGCTGTGGGTAAGTCAGGGTAGAGGTGGGCCCTATCCAGGGTGGGCCCCCATTGTCTTCCTACTTTGGAATCTGCGTTAGGTGACAACAGGCCTCACTCCTTAGCCCTCCTTGCCCTTGAGGGCTGTGCATTTGAGAGCCTTGGTGTCTCTGGGTGCACGTCATTATCACTAGACACTTGGTGTTCTGCTGAGATGTGGGCAGGCCTGAGGGAGGGCAGGGTGTACTGGGGCTGGCGTGACAGGTACCGCCAGCTGGGTGGCCTGAGCAGCATTCTGAGGCTGAAGTTCAAGATGGAGACGCCAGCAGGTGGCTTTTCCGGGGGCTTCTCTCCGTAGTTGTGAGGCTGCTCTCCTGCTGCCTCGGGACATGGTCCTCCCTCCGTGCATGGCCTCCTCCTCTTGGCAGGACACAGATCGGATCAAGAGCCACCTCAGTGTCCTCATTTTAACTAAATCACCTTTTCAAAGGCTTTATCTCCAAACAGCCATATTCTGAGGTGCTATCAGTTGGGACTTCAACACATGAATGTGGGGAGGGGACACAAATGTGCCCCACACTTGGGGCTCCAGTAGCCTGGGCCATGCATGGCACGAAAAGGACTCTGGGTGATTCTCCAGTTCTGGGAAGACAACAGGATTGTCACCTGTTTCCAGCACTGATCCCATGGTGGTACATTAAAGGTGGGTGCCAATGGCAGTTGGGCCTGGAAAAGCCCCCCGCTCTGCCCCCACATGGGCCAGGAAGGCTTTGCTTGCTGTATACCTGCATGAGACGGAGGGCGGTGGGAATCGGGAGCAGGGCAGGCCAGGTGTGTGGCTGAGGGCTGGTGTGTGACTCCTCGACTGGAGCTCTTCTGAAACTCTCTGTGCTCAGAGGTCACCCCTCCCCCTCCCCCCAACCAGCTCAGGAAAGACTCCCAGGAGGACCATGCACCTCCCCTGCAATGGGCTGCAGGCCTCCTGTGGAGAGAGATGCTGTGTGGCTGGCACTTCTGTGGACAGGCAGGAAAACGTGGCTCTGAGGAGTTCCCAGAACTCCTCAGCCAGCTCCCCTGCTGGGCACCAGGGGGCCAGTGTGTGGGTACTGCCTGCACGGACAGGAGAGCAGCGCCTGGAACTGGAGAGCTGCCCGCGGCTGTGGTAACAGGTCACCCCCATCTCAGTGGCTTAAAGCCACGCAGGTTCTTACCTGAGGTTCTGGAGGCCACAGTCCCTGCTCAGCCTCCCTGGGCTCAGTCGGGCTTCCTCTCTGAGAAGACTCTGTGTCCTGGCCTCTCCAAGCCGCTGGAGGCCACAGCCTGGCTCTTGCCCCTTCCCTGTCTTCCTGCTGTGTCCCCCTCCGTCTCCACCTCCGCCTCTGCCTCCCTCTGCTTTCGGGACCACACGGTCCTCCCTGACTCACCCTCTGCTTCTTGAGAGGACGCTGCTGATGACACTGGGACCTGGATAATCTGGGCTCATCCCCCTCCTCAGGATCCAACCTGCAGACTCCCTTTTGCCAAGTGAGGGGAGGTGTTTAGGGGCCCTGGGGGTTGAGCTTAGACGTCTGCGGAGGCCACCATGCAGCCCACGGCAGGAGGCAGCACAGTGAGCCGCAGGGCAAGTGGGGAGGGGTGCCCAGGGGCCGTGGCTGAGGTTGGAGGGGTGTGCTCCTGGGTGTGTGTCCTTCTGTCCCGTGACTGGCATCAGAGAGCCTCAAGTTCACATCATAAGCCTTCGGTGTACGCCACTCCCCAGAAGATTGCCTGGTTTGCACGGTGAGCAAGATGCCCGCGCTGCCCGGCACTCTCCCCAGCTCTGGAAGGAGGATTTCCAGCGCTTGCAGCTCAGTCTTGTTCCTCACTTTCTGCGAAGTTCCAACAGTTCCCAGGAGGTCTCTAGTTTCTCAAGCTGCTGTTGAGTTGTGAAAGTCACAAGAATAGTTAGAATGTTCTCCTGTCCCCAGAGGAACTTCAGGGGCCTGCGACCGCCTGGGCCCAGCCTCATGCTTTGCGAGGCTGACCTCCAAGCTCATTGGCGTCGGTTCTGCTGATGGTCCCAGGCTGGCCTGGCCAGCACCTTGCTCCTCCCTGTCCTTCCCTGAGCAGACTTGCTGTTGGGCAGGTCCCTGGCAGAGACCAGGGTGGGAGCTATGTGCAGCCTGGGCCCTTGGGTCTGTGAGTCGCCATCCTTGGGGAGTCTGCATGGTGTAGACTGGGCAGGAGAGCAGAGGCAGAGACCCGCAGGCACTCCTGCACCCAGGGAGTTGAGTGTGGCAGAGCAGTGGTGCCCCCTGTCCTCCACTGGCCTGGCCTGCCCTGAGCTGCCCCTGTGCTCCTCCTCGCTGCTGGTCCTGTGAAGCAGAGGAGGACTCCATTTCATGCTGGCAGCACGTGCCAGCTGCCCCCGAGTGCCCAGTGCTGTGTCTGAGGTACAGAGAAGGCTGTGAAAGGGGCCTGCTCTCCCCAGTTAGAAAGCCCTTTGCTGGGGCAGCATCCAGGACCCCAGGCTCCCACAGGGCCCTTGGTGAGTGCAGAGGCTCTGGGGCTCTGGGGGACCTTCTGGGATGCACCCCCAGCTGTTTGTGCTCCAGAAGGTCCCTTGAGACGCAGGTCCCCATCAGTTTTAGAAGTGGGTGTCAACGCTGAACCTGGGCCTCCCCAGACACGTGACTTGCCCCAGGCAGCGCGGTGAGATGGCAACCAGAGGAAGGAGACCCCCCAGCAGCTCAGAGCAGAGGTAGGCTGTGTCCACCACCTCCCCTTCCATCTAAAAGGCCAGGCAATTTGTACCCACTGAACTCTGCCCTGAGAAGGATGGCATGGGAAAGGGGAGACCTGGGTCTGGCACCAGGTGAGCTGAGTCAGGTTCCCCAGTGCAGGGCCTGGTATGGCCTTCCCATAACCTAGGGCACACCACTGGCCCTTTCTGTACCCATGGGTCTACAGTGCTCATGAGGGGGTGTCAGAGGTAACAGGTAAACACTGAGGGTCAGAGAGGTTGCACACCTCCCTGAGGTCCACAGCACAAGTGTCCAGAATAAAAGAGCAGAATGTCAGCTCAGACCTTTTTACTTATAATTTCAAAGTCAACGCTTTAAACCTTGGTGTTCCATACACCTTGCTCCCTCTGCACCCTGGGGCCCCATCCTCAGCAGCCTGTCAGCATCTTGAATGTCAAGACTCCCTCCCCACCCCCCAGCCCCCATTTCAATGCCCAATGTGACTTGCCCCAGGCAGCGCCCAGTGCTCTACTGGGCCAAAGCTTTCTGCCCGTTCAGGGGTCCAGGTGTGACCAGGGCTTCTAGAGGCAGCCGAGGTGGAAATGAACATGACTCTGCTCTTCCAAGGCTCCCCGCTGGATCCAGGTGGCAGAGGTGCCATCCCTTCCCTGGGCTGCCTGCAAGTGGCCTCAGCCTCCTGTGCAGGCAGGCTGCTTCTGAGTCCCCTGAGACCTGAGGAGTCGCAGCAGAAGCAGACTGCCCCACCCTCTGGGCTCAGCCCTGCCCAGCAGCCTCAAAGGCACCGGGGCACACAGACCAGCTGGGAGTCATACGAACAACTAATGTTTATTTTCTCATCAAACATTTCCTGAACACCTACTGCGCACGAGGCACTGGAGTCTGCCTGTCCGTCTGCCTCAGGGACCAAGGCCAAGGAGGGGCAGGGCTGCAGCTTGTGGCCCAACCATCCCCAGGCAGGGCAAGGCTGACCCCAGCTTTAGGCCCCCCCGGGTCCCCCACGCTGTGGTCCTCAGGGAAGTCACCATACTGTTGTTTTGTGTCCTTGGACCTCAGGGCCCCTCATCCACCCTCAGCCTCCATCACCCTCTCCTGGCTTGAGATGGTCAAGGGTTTCCCCTGAAGGGCCAGACGGTGGGTCAGACTAGAAGCTCTTAGGTACTAATTTAACAGCAGGGACAAGAAATGTCCTCAGAGTCACTGAGAAAATTCAAAGTATGATAATGGAGCACAGTCGTTGGTTACAGGTCTGCTCCCAAGAAGACAGGGATTCCCCTGAGGGGGTTTCACTTCGGTCAGTAGTGCACCGGGTCAGATGGCAGTGTCACTGCAGATGCCATGCCTAGCACAGCCTCTTGTCCCTGGGGACTCCAGTGGACACCCCCGCCACATCTGAGCCTCTCAGGACGTGACTTGTCCTCCAGCCTCCGTGGTGGCCTCCTCTTCTTTCCGCATCTGCAAGGTCAAGGTGCCCGTGGTCCAGGCCCCGGCCTTCTTGCAGGAACGCCTGTCCATGGAGGGTCTCCTGCACTCCCAAGCCTCTGCTGCCTCTGGCTGGGGACCCCACGCTGTCCCCCCCTGCAGTGAGGGGCAGCTTCTCCAGCTGGAGTGACAGAACCAGTGTCTGTCCCTGTCCCCTGGCCACCCGCGGCCCCACCTCAGCCCCCACAGGCAACAGGTGCGGCCCAAGTCCTGAGCTGCACCCAGCACTGCTCCCCCACTCTGAGCCGCAGCCCACCCGGCTCCCTCCCACCTCGTGCTCCAGTGTCCACCCAGCCTGACCACACTATCCCCACCCCTCTCCCAGGCTCCTCTCCTCCCACCTGAGAGACCCCCATTCTGCTGGCTCTGCCCCCTGATCCCGACCATCGCCCCAAGTTAACCCTGGTTCTTGTTCATATTGATGAACTTTGATGTCTTGGGGATCTGTGGGCCCCTGACGGATGTCCCTCCCAGAGCTGGCTGGGACCCCAGTGAACGGGTCACATACAAGGCGGCCAGAATGAAGCCAGGTCCCACCATCTCTGTGTAG